AGGGCTGCCCGGACCCCTGGCCGGGGTTGCTGATGTGGCCTTCCCTGATCTTTCCACCTTGAGTCTCCCACCTCTCTCGCCCCCTGCCTTTTAGTACTTTTTCTGTAACTGAAACCCGTTTGGCCTAGTATCTTCTGTATATACTCGACACCCTTTAATGTGGGGGACCCGGACATCTGAATCTGGAAGCTTCTTTCTGCCTGGATCATGTTGCGGCTCTTCCAGTAATGTCCATGTTACACGGTCAGCCCTTTCTCTCTAGAAAGAGCCCAACTAAGCTACTTCAGGCCATTTTCTCAGTTTTTGGTCGCCTTGCAAATTCTGTTCCTTTTGCTTGTTTGCCCTGCCTGTTCTACAGTGTCTCAGAACTCCATCGCTAAACAAAACAAAACAACCCCCACTCCTCTCCAAAAAAACTTCATTGCTTCTTCTTATACTCTGGGGGTATTATTAAACCACAGACTCCTGGTCCCCTCTGTCAGACATTGAGATTCGCCAGTTGTGGGCCAGGCCTGAGGCCCTGTATTTCTAACACGTGCCAAGGTGATACAGGTGGTTAGAGATGATTTGTTACTTTAAGTAGCGAGGATCTAGGTGGCCCTGTGTGACCATAGCACTTCCTTCCCAGTTTCAAGACTTCCAGTTTGTCACCCTTCCTAGGCTAGAGGCTTGTTGGGCAAAAGTTGTATGTCTTATTCTGAGTCACTAATGCCAGGGATATCGTTGAGTGAATGAAATACTGGCTTCCTATTCATACCACAAACTCCCAATCATTTTGCTTCTCATAGTGGCAAAGCTTCCCTTGGGAGTGTTTTAGTCTGAAGGCTGCTGGGCTGGGATCTGCCTCTTCCGACTCTGCCTTTATCCATCCCTGAAATCTGGTGCGGTTCATGGATATGGAACTTGAGAACTCCCCATAGAGATCTGAGTCCATGGGTGAAGTCTAGGGAGACAGGGATTCTTTTGTTCTCAAACGTTCAAATAAGAATGGACTTAAAGTATTGATTTCGTCCCGGAGCTCAGCCTAGAGTCTGATCCACACTGCACTTAGGGCGTCTGTGAGGAACTTAGTGGGGGCTCTCTGAGGACTAAAGGGGTGTCTGATCTGGTAGTGGGGCTCCAGGCTGAAACCTAAGTGAACATCAGCGGCACCTTAAAGATTCAAATTATGTGCTAATCGAGCTATCTTTAGAATAAAAGTTGGTGCATTTTAAATTTTTGTTTTTTGCTTTTTGTGTCACACCCGGCGATGCTCAGCAGTTACTCCTGGCTTTGCACTCAGGAATTACTACTGGCGGTGCTTAGGGGACCATGTGAGATGCTGGGAATTGAACCCGGGTTGGCCACATGCAAGGTAAACACCCTACCCGCTGTGTTATCGCTCCAGCCTCTAATTTTTTATTTGGGGTGTCAAACCCGGCGATGCACAGGGCTTACTCCAGGCTCTGCACTCAAGAATTACTCCTGGTGGTGCTTGGGGGACCATATGAGATGCTGGGAACTGAACCTGGGTCGGCCACGTGCAAGGCAAACGCCCTACCCGCTGTGCTATCGCTCCAGCCCCTGCTGCGTTTGTAAAGGCGTGGACTTGCTTCATCTGCGAAAGAAATTCAGACCTTGCCATGGGAAGCTGGGGAGAGCGAGATGGGAGGTTAGAAGTTAGCACCTTATGGGCTGTAGCGATAGCACAGCGGGTAGGGCGTTTGCCTTGCACGTGGCCGACCCGGGTTCGATCCCCAGCATCCCATATGGTCCCCTGAGCACCGCCAGGAGTAATTCCTGAGTGCAGAGCCAGGAGTAACCACTGAGCATCGCCGGGTGTGACCCAAAAAGCAAAAAAAAAAAAAAAAGTTAGCACCTTAGCACCAGCCACCAGAACGGTCGCTCTGAGCAGCTTCCGTGGTGGTCTTTTGCCCTCAGCCTTTTTCGGTTTTTGACACCAAGGGAGTCCCCTTGCCAATTTCAGTCGTTTTGAGCAGGGAGAGGCGTTGAGGTTCTGTGGGAGTGTGGGAACGAAGAGAAACGGGGTAGCCCCGTGGAAGCTCCATCCTCTTGTGCCCCCCTCCCTGGTTTGCCTTCTCTTGCCTGGAGTTGGCCTTCCTGTGCGTTTGTTCCTTTTTCCAGTGACCACTAGGCTTCCTTGCCCCTACGCTTGGTTCTCTTGTCCATCCCTGATTTCCTCTTGCCACAATAGGCTGGAGACTTGCTCGGAGACCACAGCCGGGAGAGGAAATCGAGTTAGCAGATGGTCATGGCAAGGAGCAGGCGCAGTGGATGGCCGTGGCAACAGCTGGATGGGGCAGCTTCGTTTGCAGGCCGGAAGGCGTGGGTTCTCGTAGCACGGTGACTGCTACGTCAAAGGCAGGAGGGACACCTGCCCAGCACGTAGGACCTTCATTTGCGGGACAGCGTGGGGGTAAACTTCTTTCCACGTTCGTCTTGCCTGCCTCTTGAACATTCTCTGCCCACTTGATTGTTTACTCACAAGCTTCTCTTCTAGCCTCTCTCCTGCCCTTGCCCAATTCTTGAGATTCCTTTTAGGTCATTGCGACCCGACGCACAGCGCTCCTGTGCGCGGGGCCTATTACGAATCAATATATTAGGCCAGCCGGCACACACAGGCGCTCTTCTCCGTGCATTCCTCCCCAGAACCCCGGCAGACACCCAGTCTGCTCAGAAAGTGCTGTCGTAGCCTTTGAATTTGGCTTGGGGATTTGGTGGGTGCCTTTCGGTAAGTTACATGGCTCTTTGGGTGTCCGGGCTGATTGGTGATCTTGCGTCCTTTGTTTATATGTTTCGTTAATTAGCAGAATAACGGGTGGGGGGTGGGTGGGCGGGAGGTTTTTGGGAAAAAAAAGAGACGGGTTCAGTTCATTGGGGGGGGGGGGATAATTCCTGCTTTGCAAGAGTGAGTGCCTTGGAACAATGTATTCTTTTTAATCCTTTAAAACCGCTTAATTGCTGACTGGTAGGGGCACTGGGGGTCGTTTCCCTTAAGTGATCTGACTCGTTTGCTAGGCCACTTCTCAGAGGTTGGGGGGGATCCTCAGAGGAGATGGGATATATAGGAAAGGCTTCCTAACGGGCAATGCAGTCTCCGACTTGAACTTAGGCGGAGAGTGACTTTCTAGACGGATGACAGGTTGGTTTTACGTTTGGTGGAAACTACTACGGAAACTTCAAAGATGACATGAACGGTTATATTACAGCTTTAAAAAAAAATTGCGGGGAGGGTTTGGGCTCAGAATGTAATCATTTCCTTTCTCCTCCGAACACCGCCAGAGGAAAGGTGCGCGCTTCTTGGACTGGGGTCTGTGTGTTTCTCAGTGGGGAGGTATGATTGGCGGCGGGCAGAGACAGTCTGCTTTCTCTCGGGATCCCCCGGCAGAATGCCTTCCTAATGATGAATTAATTCCTCCTAGTGTGTCTATAATCCCTCTCCCTTTCTTCCCGCGTCTCCTTTTGTTCTAAAGCCTCTGCCTCCTCTTGCTTCCACTGAGGGTGGTGCTTGGCCAGCAGCAGCTTTAGTTTTGGGTATTTGGGAGGCTGCTGTCCCCCTTCCCAAACCACCACATTTCTTTCTTCCTTTCTTTTCTCAGCGCCTAACAGCTTATTTCCTTCAGCACCCACTTCTCTGGTCCTCCACCGCTTTGCGTTCTCAAATTTGGCTTGCATGCCCCCTTGTGGCTGACTCGAGGCATTTCCCCCCCCTCCCGCCCCACCTGTGACCCTGGTTTTGGGTTTTGTCCTCCCTGTCGCACCCCTCTCCGTGGTACCTTGACAGCTGTTCATGCCTCCCAGCTGTTACTACTTGGTTTTTAGCCGCAGTTCACACATGCTTTGCCACTCAAGTGGAACCCCCGGAGCATGAGATTTTGAATTAGGGTTTTCAAGTCTGAGATTTAGGCAGTGGGAAGGAGTAAGCTTCAAAAGAGACTCAGAAAGAGAGGATTGTGTCTATTGTCGGGTTTTATTTTTTTTTTAAGTAGCTTAAAAAGAATGAAAATTGCCTGATTTTAGGGGCCAGAGTGCTAGTACAGCAGTCAGGGTGCTTGCTTGGTGTGTGGCTTGCCACCAGGGTTTGATGACCAGCATCCCCTGTGGTCCACGGACTCTGCTCAGAGTAAACCCCGAGCATAGAGCCAGGAACAGTCTCTGAGCACCACTGGATCTGGCCCCCAACCCCCCCAAATTGGTTGGTTTTATTCTTTCTTTGAATCGATTCCTGCAGTTTGAGTTGGGAGGGGCCGGGAGGGTGAGGTGTCGGGGTTCTTGGGAGAGGTAGGGGGTACAGTGGTGATGGGTGTTGGAATTATGTGCATGAGAAACTGTTATTCATAATAGCATTGTAAACCACAGACTCTCAATGAAAAATCGAATGAAAAGATTGAAAATGAGTAAAAAGAAAGAATGAAAATTGCTGTTGTGTCTCTTCAGATAATCTGAAAGGATCACAGTGTGGTGAATATATGATTGTTAGAGTGATCACCTTGGGGCCAGAGGGCTAGTGCAGAAGGTAGGATGCTTGCCTTGGGGTCAGCTGACTCGGGTTTCTTTCCCCAGCAGCTTATTGGGGCCTCTGAACCTTGCCAGGAGCGATCCCTGTGTGCAGAGTGAGGAGTAAGCCTTTAGTACTGCCAGATGTGACCCCCACCCTGATAAAAGCAACAGCACAATCAGGAAAAGAATGGTCATTAACCCCTCCAGAAAGGAAAAAAAAAAGCCTTCCTTCATTGCTTTAGAAAAACTTTCATCATTCACCAAGTATCTAGTATTTCATAGCCTGTCCTGTTAATGACTTTGGGGAATACAGACAAAATATGAAGCTTGTTTATTTTTCAGAAATTTCTGTTCTAGTTAGGACTCGTTTAAATTTCTTCCCTCGAGGGGGGTGGGGGGGAAAAGAAGGACTAGGAGCGATCAGTTTTATTGGTGTTTAATATTTCCACTTCATCTTACTAAAGACAGATGCTCTGCGCGTTTGCTTCTTTCTGTTCAAGTCTTTTTCAGTGGAGAGAGACCCTCAGGACAGCGGCGGCTACCCGGATGAGCCGTGGCGGGTGACTGAGGAGCAGCGTGAGTATTATGTCAATCAGTTCCGATCACTGCAGCCGGACCCGAGCGCCTTGATTTCAGGTAATGAACCCCGACGGGGCGCGAACGTGCTTCCAGCTCTGGGTGCCTCACAGGGAGCCGCGCTCACATCTTGAGACATAACGGCCGCAAAATGAGAGCAACGGCCTGGGGTGATTGCCTTTACAAAGGAAAAACACTTGGTAATGCAGTTGGGAAAATTCTGTGTCCGTGTTCAAGGGGTTAAAGGAGACCCCAGGGGCCGCTGATCCCCTTTGCTAGTTGGAGCCCAGCCTGGCACCATCAGGTGCTGCCTGGCGGTGATAGCTGACTCGCTGGGTACCGCGCTGGGGAGCTTGGAGGTGGCGTGTGTGACCTGGAGCGCTGCTGTCACTGTGCCTGTGTTGTGTCTGCTGGTTCACGCTCCGTTTCTTCGCCTTCAGTATTTCTCCTCTGCTTTTTTTCCTAAGAGAAATGAAAATAGGGGAGGAAAATTGGCCTGCGTTTTTCTCTCCACATATCAGTTCTGGATTATCTTCCAAATATGTATTCCCGTGGAGTTCTCAGGCGGGGAGAAATAGATGTCATTCCTGCGTGCTTACATTTTCCGGGGCTGGAGACTAAACAAACAGTGAAATAGAGCTTGGAAGGAGGAATGAGAAAAAGATGATGAAATTTTCTTTCTCTGCTTCAGTCTTGGAAAATGACAATATGCCCCCTTCATAACTGTTGCTTGCCGTATGGAAGGGTGGACTCGGACTAATTTTCTTTCGGGAAATAAGGAACGGGACCGAAGTATGACTTGTAGAAGTGCAGGTACACTTGGCCGATGGGTGACGAGGGCTGAGTCGAAGGGAGAGTAGCGGAGATTTTCAAGTGACTGTTGCCAGCACGGTTTGAAAGATGACAACAGACGGATGTGTTCTGGGAACCACACCCCCCCACCCCCTGGCCCCCTGCTGCGGTGGCCTGAAGATCCTGACATTGACAGGTGTAAGGAGCATCGCATTCTTGGGCCTTGGCACTGAATTGATGGTCCAGTCCGCTGACACTTGCTGGAGGTGGGGGGTCCCCTGACCTTTTGACTACCACGTGGGAGGTCCCCCACCAAAAATGCCGCGGAAAACCCAGATCGAACATATCGACCACTTGCTAGCCAGGCCCACCTCTTGCTTATTTTTTTTTTTTTTTTAGGTATGAGGCGATTCAGCCGAATGCACATCGGGGGTGGTTGAGGGGGTTTCTGTTTTTCTTTTACCTTCTTTGTTTTGTAGAATTTCAAAAATGATACAAGAGTGGCTTTATAGCAAATCCATTCCCGACTGCCTTTCACACAGGGCTAACAATTAGCTTTTAATCTATATTCTTTTTTTCAATGCAGATAATTTTAAAGCAATTACCAGACCGTTTCACTTGAAAATGTTTCAGGATTTCTCTTTAAAGATGAGACTTTTTTTTTTTAAATAAAACCCATGTCTGCAGTTTATAGCACACATAAAAACAATGTGCCCACCAATTCCTTAATATCAATTTCTTAGTATCGGTCAGTTTTGGAATTAATTTTTGTCTATGTACGGCAGGCTATAGTGGCTCAAATTATTCTTTTTTTGTTTGTTTTTGGGTAACACCCATTCAGTGTAGTATTTTGCACGTAGATCTCCATTATCCTGGCATGATTTGTTAAAAAGAAAAAAATCTTCCTTCCCTCATTTAATGGTTTAAACATTCTAGTCAAAATTCAGTTCAATTTAAATGTGAGGGCCTATTTCTGGATACTACCAGTCCACTAATAATGTGCCTAACCTAATGCCAATACTACATTTTTAGGTTTGAAATTGGGAAAGTGGGAGAGCTCTCGACTTTTTTCTTCACAGTTTTCTTTTCAGTCTTTAAGGATGCTGTTTTAAATTGTATAGTTATATGCAGTGTTTACATAATAAAATACAGTCTATAAAACAAACTGCTATTTCCAATCTAGCTTTTATTCCATTTAGTCTACCTGTCCCTTCCTTCCCCCTATAGGCATTCCTCTTTTTGAGTGGTTTATCTGTTTTTAAAAAAATAAAAGCAAGCACAAACATGTGTATCTCTATACATATGTGTGTTCTTTTCTCCATCTTCCTAGATAAATGGTCACATACTATTCATTCTTTTGTCCACCTTGCTTGCTGTTTTCACTTTACTATATCTTAGAGGTTATGTTATACTTATATGTAGAAGTAGTTCTGTTTTTTTCTCCCCAAGCATAGGTGCTACTTGATTTGTAAATGTGCAAACACGTATTTGCCTTATTCCCTGTTGAGATTATTACTGCTTTTTGCTATTGTAACAGTTTCTGTTGCAAATAACCTTTCCTGTCTTATATCTTCGTATGTTTTTGTCAGTGTATATTTAGATAATTTGGAAGTGGGGCTACTGTGTCAAAAATGATGTTGTTGAATTTGATAAAATATCTCAGCTTTGGAATTAAATTATTTTGTGATCTTACCAACATTGTATGAATGCCTCGTTGCCCCAGTCTGACCAAAACATATGGTCTAGTAATTGCATATGTTCCTCATTTAGTTGTCAAGAATTTATATCTTTGCATGTTTTTAATTTGCAGCTTCCTAGGCATAAAGGTTAACCTTAAAACAAAAGCTTAAGTGTTGGTTATGTGGGAAACTCTTATAGCTCTTCCTATTTTATTAGAGTCTAAAAATTTATTTTTGTTGTATTGACTTGTTGATTTTATTTGCTGTTCTCATTTTCTTTGGAGTTGCTGGTCTTTAGTTCTCAAAGATCCGTATATGTTGGTTGTGTTAAAAGAGTCTGTCGGTGCTTTGTAAAATAGTTTATGGGTTTAGAAAGCCCTCGGAGTGAAAAGTTGGAATTCGCGTTTGACTATTTCCTTGCTGAGTGCTTTGAGGCCTCACCTTGTCCTCTTCTGCCCCATACATAGTTGTCAAGCAGGTCAGACAAAGAGAGAATAAGGAAAGGGGGCTGACTTGAGGTTTCTGAGGTGGTCGGAGACAGGATTGGAATGAGGGTTCCAGCTCACTGAATTTCCCCCAGTCCCAGAGGAAGGAGCACAAGACTTTCTCGCTAGCGCCCTCTTCCGGCGTGCAGCTGTCAAAGCATAACGGAATCTGTTAACTGTTGGCTGTTCACTGAACCGCTCTGGAACACACGGTTCGAGTCGAGTCTCTCCAGGCGGAAAGGCCAGGCCTGGCTTCTAACTGTGGCTTTGGCCCGAGTATGCTTCAGAGAAATAGATCCAGGGTTGGGGGAGAAGAATATGATTGAGGAGAGGCCTTCGTTGTGTCTATGAAATAGATGGTAAGTCGGCTTTTAAGACAAGTATTATAAACATGTGACCACACGCGGATGGCAAGTCAGCTTTTAAGACATTTCTGACAAGAATTTGACAAGGTGGCTGTGCTGATGGCAACAGTCACGTATCAGCATCCTTTCTGGTTTGCCTAGAAAGTAGTAGAAGGTTAATAGATTTAGTGGGCCATTTTGCCTTTAACTATTGACAATCTAGCGAGGAAAATAACTGCCTGAGGGCTCATTAGAATCCGTTGTTTTAAGCCTGATTATAAAGGTTGTGATTGTTGGGGAATCTTTATCAATTTGGAATAAAGGCTGGGGATTTGGCTTTACTGCTTTTTTTTTAACTTAAGATTTTGGGGGCAACACACCTGGCAGTGCTCAGGGATTACTCCTTGCTCTGTGCTCAGGGGTCATTTCTAGCAGTGCTTGGGGGACTGTTTGCAGTGCTGGGGATGGAATGTGAGTTCTTTTCTACTGTCTGAGTCTGCTTTGACTGTTTTTTTTTTTTAATGTTAGAATTGAGGTGTTTGAATTGGGAAACTGTTTTGGGAGGTGAAAATCTACAAATCTCAATCCAAATGAGGATGGATTCTAACACTTTAAGTGTAGTTGAGATGTGCATTTATGTAACATATAAAAATGAAGAGACTGCCTGGTTTTAATTGAGATTGGGTGAATTTATGATGAATCAAGAGAGTAGTGCGAGGTTCCGGGCTAAGGTTCTCAAAGAACCACCTAGAGATCTTAAATTGCGTGAAACTCTTTCCTAAGATGCCTGCATTATCTCGGTGATGAGATTAATAGTGTTAATTTTCTTTGTTCTGCTCTTTGCTACACATTATGTCCTTCTAACTTTTCATTAAAAGCGATGATGTATTTTCACATTAATACTTTTGAATTGTTACATATTTTCATCAAAACTAACCCAGAATTAATATCTATAATTTGCATATCACAGTATTATATCATTGCTTCTTTTATCCTCCTCTAATTTACATATTCTTTAAAAAGTACTTTCTATGTTGTTTTTAGCCATGTGATTTTGTAATTGCTTTGATGAGAGTGTGTGTGGTTGTATGGTTGAGATTACTGAATGGAAACAAATGATGTTTTCTTTTCATGTAAATAGAGAGCTATTCTAGATAAATAATTAATGATCCATTTGAACTGTGGCTTTTGACAGGTTCTGTGGCCAAGAACTTCTTCACCAAGTCAAAGCTGTCCATTCCAGAACTGTCCTATATATGGTGAGTACAGTTTAAGTCTATGTATATGCATACACACATACATATACCTATATATATCTATAGTATATGCAGTCCAATACCGGTATGCATACCCATCCTGAAGCTTTTTCTAGTACAGGTTTTTGGATTTTGAATTTTTCTTTAGCACTGTGATTTACGAAGCTGTTATTAATAGAATTTTATCTGACTGCATGCAACTTGTGGGCTATGGGCGAGTATTCTGTGTTTTCTAATGCACGGACCTGAAAACCACCTGTCCAGTCTGGTCTGCTGGCCAAGCTCTAGCCTGCCGGGGTCCCCTGTTGCATAGAGTAGGGAACAGTCAAACAGGAGGCATAGTGGAATGGGAAGTAAAAAAACACCCATCAGGAAAATAAAATAAAATTAAAATAATAGATTTCCACCTCCTCAAATAGTTTCCCAATTCAAACACAGTTCTAACAACAACAACAAAAAAGAACAGAGTCAAAGCAGTTCCAGCTCTGAACCCCCCGACCAGTGTCCCAAGGTTCTTTGTCACCCCCTCACCTGCCTCCTTGGCAAACTCATAGGTTTGCCTCAGTTATTCTAGTTTTGGTCACATGTCTACAATACTGCTGGTTTATAGGGTTCTGATGTATGCAGTTAGCTCACCTCGACACCTTCAAATTATCCAGTGCCCCTGACCAATGATGCTGTGCCACCTCCTGCTACCCCCACCCCTTCTCCCCTTCCTCTGCATTCTCATTTTGCAATCCAGAGCCTAGGTTTGGCCCACATTTGCTACCTCCCATTACCTTGTCTTATTACTTGGTGTACCAGAGATAATCAGTAATATCCAGAATTTGTCCTTCTCTTCACTGAACACAAAACCCTTCAATTCCATAATTCCATGCAAGGTGCAGTGAACTACACGATTTCACTGTTCCTTGTGGCTGCATAGTACTCTACTGTGTATATAAACTACAATTTCCTTATCCACTCTTCTGTCGTTGGACATGGGTTGTTTCCATATCCCGACTATTAACTGTACCGAGTGCTGCACCGGACATAGGCATGAATGCATCTTTTGAAATTTGTGTTTGTGTATTGGGGTAGATGCCAAGCCGTGGAACCTCTGGGTCGTATGGGAGCTCTCTTCTTCATTGTTGGATAAGTTTCCACAGTTTTCCCTAGGATCTGAACCAGACATCATCCCAGCAGCCTCACCTGCACTGGTTGTTTCTGGTGTATGCTATTTTTTTTTTGGCTTTTTGGGTCACACCCAGCAATGCATAGGGGTTACCCCTGGCGGTGCTTGGGGGACCCTGTGGGATGCTGGGAATCAAATCCGGGTCGACCGTGTGCAAGGCAAACGCCCTACCCGCTGTACTATCTCTCCAACCCCTCTGGTGTATGTTTTTTATAAAGCCCTTTGCCTGTGTTTTGATAGACGAAGAGAGTACATAGAATTGAATTTTTGTTGCTGTGAAGATTAACTTACTGTGGGACAAGCACACTGAACAGTGCCTGGCATTTCCTATGCATTCAAAGTCTTAGTTCTTTGAATAGCAATATCCTATTTATTATCTTCAACGAGATCCCTTTTTTTCCAGGGAAGCAATTGGGTCGCCACTGAGAATTGCCATCTTGTGTCTTTTATTTCAAAACATTTTCTGGGAGCCATACCCAGCAGCGTGTGAGAATGATCAGAACCACACCGGACAGAGTGTGTGTGTGTGTGGGGGGGGGAGTGTGTGTGTGTGGGGGGGGGCGTTTCTGGTCTTGGGAATGGAACAGAGGGCCCCACACCTGGAGCCAGATCCCTGACCCCTGCGTGTCTCTCTCTCTCTCTCTCTCTCTCTCTCTCTCTTTCTCTCTCTCTCTCTCATTCACTCCTCCCAAGTGGTCCTTGGGAGGTCTCGGGGTTAGCACTGATTCCCAGCCCGTTGGACGGAGGTCAGTGCACGGGCCCAGCCCAAGAAGGCGACGCTGGCCACACTGCAGGCTCTGGGGGCCTCCAAGACCACCCTTGTCGGAGCTCAGGCCTCTTAGGGCTGTACTCAGCGATGCATGGGGAAGCCGATGGGGCGGAAATCCAACCCGACTCAGATGTTGCCTGTTCACTGTCTCCTCCTTGCCTCTATTTTTTTTTTTCATTTTATGTTCAGTTTTTTTTTTTTTTGAATCCCTGTGAGAGAGACCCTTGCAAAGCTGTTCGTGATCAGGTTTCAGTCAGTGTTGCAAGCCCCATCCCCCCACCAGTGCACATTTCCCAGCACCAGTGACCCTCCCCCACGACCCCGCCAGCCCACCCCCAGCCTGCCTCTCCGGCAGGCGCTTTCTTTCTCGCCCTTATTTTTTTTTTTAGAGTTTTGTATGCGGAGTGCTCCAAGGAACTAGAGAAAAGGGATTTTTTTTTTTTTATCATGTCACCTGAAGTCAGGTGAATGGGGAATTCACAGAAGGTTCTGCAGTTCAATTCAGGTGGATTCTGGGAGTTGCCTCCTCGGTTCTTGAATCGGGCTGTTGTTTTATCAGCTGGTCTGACTGAGTTCAGACTTGCAACTGGGCTCGGTACTACCCCTTGCTGCCCAGCTAGCCCCAGCCCCGGTTCGTACAGGTCTGCACCAGGCGGAGCCGGCTGCCTCCTGGCGTCTGTGAAAATCCTGAGCTGCGTGTGGCTATTGTGCTCTGAGCAGCATGGGAAACGCACACCGCTGCCAATCGGTCTGTGGCTACACCTCGGAAGACTTCCATACGGTCATTTTTGTTTTCCAGAAGCAAATTATGATCGGACACCACATTCCTCGACGGTCTTATATGCCACTTGGAGCACTGTAGCACTGTCCTCCCATTGTTCATCGATTTGCTTGAGTGGGCCCAGTAACATTGTGAGATTTGTTGGCATATTGAATTTGGCATATGGAATATGCCACGGGGAGCTTGCCAGGCTTTGCCGTGCGGATGAGATACTCTCGGTAGCTTGCCGGGCTCTCCGAGAGGGGTGGAGGAATCGAACTCGGGTTGACCTGGTCTGCTGCGTGCAAGGCAAACGCCTTACCCATTCTGCTATCGTTCCAAATCTTACGGAAAACAATTCCTCATACGTTCCACCATGTGTGACGGTTGGAGCTGGCTTTAGGCTCCTGAAAAGTCTCCTGGCGAATCATGCTTGTTGTTGTTATTTTTTCCATTTCTTATACTTTATTTAAACACCTTGGTTTCGTAAATACCATGGTTTACAAGGCTGTTGATAACAGGATTGTTTTGGGCATTCCAGGTTCCAACACCCATTCCCCCCGGCCCCCTCCCTCCTCCCCCCCTTCCCCCATGACTGACCCTTCACCATTCCATGCAGTTCCCTACCTGCTTCCTTAGCAGCACAAAATAATTTTTTAAATATTGCTTCTTACAGCAAAATGGCTGATGGAATTATCAAAAAATACTTGAGTCAAAGAAAATTTGTGGAAATTGTTCTCTCTCTCACCCTGGGGTCATTGGCGCCATTATCTGCCTGTTGTTAGTTGTGACTGTTTTTGTTTACTGAGCCCAGTTGGTGTCTGTGCTGACTTTCCCATCCCTTTTGGTGCCCTCCTCCTGGGCGGGGCTGTGAGTGTTGTGGAATTTGGAGGTGTCTTGCAGGAACCCTGGGATCTGTAGAACAGGGCCCCTGCATTTGCATGGTGGGGACTGTGGGTATGTGGGTGTGTCTGCCGGGGCTTCCAGCGTTGGGGGGGGGTGAGGGTGGCGGGGAGGCTTCCGCCCCCTCCACTCCCAGAAGACCCCCAGAGTTTTTAGCCCCTAAAACTGGTGGATCTGGAATTTTGGGTTGCTGCAGAGATTAAAATGTTTGCTCGTTTTGTTTTGCTTTGAAGTGCAAGATAATAGAGTAGGTTTGAGAGTTGGGGAAAGAAAGGAATGACTTGGTTGAGGATGCCCTGCGACCCGAAAGGCCTCTCGCTGGCCCGGGCTTTCCGTCTTGAGGTGGGATGCAGCAGTGTGGGCGGGGTCCGTCCTCCAGACTTGGAGAGCTTCCCAGCCAGCTGCTGCGTCGTTAGCCGTTAGCGTTTGGTGGGGGGAGGAGCAACAGGCCCGCTGGAAGTCCAGGCAGCTGGTTTGAGAGAGGTTTGAGGTTTGCTTTCTCCCTGCAGCACCTTTTGTGCGGGGCTTTGAGAGCCGTCTTACCTCCCTGCGGTGTCTCTCACCAGGAATATTCTTGTCTCTGTCGTGCAGAAGAGACAGGGTGAGCTTTGGGGGTCTCCTTGCTTTGGCAGATGGGGTTCTTTTGTGCTTCCCAGTGGGCAACAATGCAGAGGGAGATAAGCCTCTCCAGCCGTCTCCCTTCTCTCTGGGTCTTATCTGCATCTGCATCCTCCTTGCCCGTTATTTTCTGAAAACAGAATTCAGCCTTATTTCCCAGGCATACTTGGATTTGTCCAGGAGGGCGTTTTTGAGCAGATGTTTGGACATTTGCTCTATGGGACTCAAAAAAGTTCAAGGTTTCCTCTTAAGGCTGAAAAAAAAAAAAAACCCCAGCATTTATTTCTGAGTAGTAACTGTCGAATGACCAGGGCTAGGCCTTCCCCAGACTCCCACACAGAGTCAGACTGAATGACAGGTGAGTGGACGAATTCCAGCTTTTATTTGGAAGGCTCTACCGGTGCCAGTCGGCAGTTATCTTCCTCTAAGCAGCCCTGTGTGATGGCCTGAGTTGGGGGATCCGACGGCAGAGAGCTGGAGAGGTGTGTTTGTGCATTTGCGGCCGAGTAACTTTTTCCTCTCTGTCCTCCTAACCTGTTTAGGGAGCTGAGTGATGCTGACTGCGACGGAGCCCTGACCCTGCCGGAGTTCTGTGCCGCGTTTCATCTCATTGTAGCCCGGAAGAACGGTTACCCGCTGCCGGAGAGCCTACCCCCTACTCTGCAGCCTCAGTTCCTGCAAGCAGGTAACTCATCCGAAACCTCCCGCACACTGGGGGCAGGCTGGGGTTATCAGTAGTTCTCCTCCTGCAGCCCGCGTCAGACTCTCCGGGCCCATTAAGTGAGTTCCAGGCATGGCCTGGGGAAGTGGGAGTCATCTGGCGCCCTCTTCTTACACTGCATTCCTGAGCCCCGGCCAGTCACTTAACCTTCCGTGGGGACTTTGGAATAGGCTGATAGAAAAGAAAGACAGAACTTCTAGAGCCACGTGTACCTTTTGGCACATCCCAGTGTCCCCAAGTGGCTTTGGCAATGAAACGGAATACAACTAATAGCTAATTACAAACTTAAGAAATCCCATGCAGTGAAATGTGTGAAGAGCTGTAATTTGCAGTGTAAACTCGACGACGTCCCGCCGTAGCTGCAGTCAGATAGATGTTGGAACAATGCAGTGCACCAGAAGGTATGCATGGAACACTTAGCTTTCTGCTTAACGAACAGTTACCCCCAAATCCTTTGACCCGAAAAGAGTTCTGGTGAGTTCAATGTTCATGTTAACTATTGGAAAAAGTCATAGTGCTTCTTGCCCTTTAAATTTTATTCTTTTCTTTCTTTCCTTTTTTATTAAGACACTGACTTGCAGTGTTGTTCATAACAGAGTAGTTTCACGCATACAGTGTTTCAACACCAGTCTCCCGCTGTTACCCTGCTCCCCTCCCCCACCAAATACCCTCACTTTCCCTCCCCCACTCCAGCCTGCTCCCTCCGCGGCAGGCTGCAGGCGGCAGGCTTACAACAAACTTAGTTTACATCACTTGCTCCAACAGAACTTAAAGGAATGGCAAATGGAATGATTAGAAAATAAATCAGTAAAAGTCAATTGATGCTGATTGATTGCTAAGTGATTTTAACCAATATAAATAAGAAGAAAAGAATGCAATCCCTTAGCAAATTAGGAAGATACCTGCCTTTCTTTAGTAGCCAGCAACCGTCTGCACTGGGAGCAAGTACCGCCCTCACGGCACATGTTGGGAAGTTGCCCCTGCCCTCATGGAAGCTCTCTTATTTATTTTCCAATTTTATTTATTTTTTTTACCTTTTTTTTTCTTTTGAGTCACCATGAGATACACAGTTACAAAGCTGTTCATGGCCAGGATTCAGTTATACAATATTCCAACACCCATCCTTCCACCAGTGTCCATTCCCACCACTGATGACCCCAGTTTCCCTCCCACCATCTACCCTCCCCCACCCCACTCCCGTCTGCCCCTACAGCAGGCACTTCTCTCTCTCTCTCTCTCTCTCTCTCTCTCTCTCTCTCTCTCTCTCCTTCCCCTCTCCCTCCCCCTCCCTCTCCTTTTGAACATTGTGGTTTGCAACACAGATACTGACAGATTATCATGTTTGCTCCTTTACCTCCTTTCAGCATGCAGTTCTTAGCCAGAGTGACCATTTCCAGCTATCCTTGTCGTCGTGGTCCCTTCTCTGTCCCAGCTGCCCTCTCCCCCAGCACTTGGAGCAGGCTTCTAAATGTGGACCAATTCTCCTGACCCTTTTTCTACTGTCCTTGGATACTAGTCTCATATTATGTTTATTTACGTCCCACAAATGAGTGCAATCATTCTATGTCTGAGGGAAGCTCTGTTATTCTATCATTATTTATTTTTTTTTTTATTGAATCACAGTGATCAATACATTTACGAAGTTTTTCATGATTGGATTTCAGTCACATAATGTTCCAACATCCATCCTGTCACCAGTGTATTTTTCTTACCACCAATGGTTGCAGTTTCTCTCCCACCCTCCATCCCCCTGCCTGCTACTGTGGCAGCCATTTTATTCTCTTCCTTACCCCCCCCCCCCTTTTTCTTTCTTTCCCTCCCCCCTACGTTCTCCCTCTCTCCCTTTCACTTCCTCTCTTTACTTTTGGGCCTTATAGTTGCAATAGAGATAATGAAAGGTTAAGAGGTATATCCCTTTACCTACTTTCAACACTCAGTTCCTGTCCAAAATGATCATTTCCAACTGTTATTGTCATGCTGGTTCCTTCTCCATCCTAACTGCCCTTAGCCCTCCATACACTCTTTTTTTAAAATTTTTTCTTAGTGAAACACCATGAGGTACAGTTGTAGACTTAGAAATTTTTGTGCTTGGGTTTCAGTTATACAATGATCAAGTACCCATCCCTCCACCAGTGCCCATCCTCCACCACCACGGGTCCCAGCATCCCTCCCACCCCCCATCCCCCACCCTACCTCTGTGGCAGGGCATTCCCCCTTGTTCTCTCTCTCTTCTTTTGGGTACTGTGTTTTGCAAGAGAGGCATTGAGTGGCAATCATGTTTGGTCTATAGTCTAATTTCAGCATGCATCTCCCATCCTGGGCGGATCTTCCCAATACCCTTTATTTGGTGCTCCCTTCTCTATCTGAGCTGCCTTTTCCCCTAGAGTGTGCGGCTGGCCTCCAAGCCATGGAGTAAACCTCCTGGTATTTATCTCGGCTATTCTTGGGTGTTAGTCTCCTATTTTGTTACTTTATGTTCCCCAGATGAATGCAATCTTTCTATGTTTGTCCCTCTCTTTCGGACTTATTTCACTTAGCATGATACTTTCCATGTAGTACCACTTGTTTGTAAATTTCTGCCCTCCATACACTCTTGTGTAAGCTTGTGCAAGCTTCCAGCCATTGAGTAGTCCTACTGACCCCTGTTTACCCTAGCCTTAGATATTAAGCTCAATATATATATATATATATATATATATATATATATATATATGGGCTGGAGCGATAGCATGGTGGGTAGGGTGTTTGCCTTGCATGCAGCTGACCGAGGTTTGATTCCTCTGTCCCTCTCAGAGAACCTGGCAAGCTACCGAGAGTATCCCACCCACATGGCAGAGCCTGGCAAGCTCCCTGTGGAGTATTTGATATACCCAAAACAGTAACAACAAGTTTCACATTGGAGACGTTACTGGTGCCCGCTCGAGCAAATCGATGAACAACGGGAGGGCAGTGCTACAGTGCTACATGTATATATCACTTGATCACTTGATCTCCCGTTATTCACCGATTTACTTGGGCGGGTGCCAGTAACGTCTCCATTCATCCCTGTTGCGTGCTAGCATAGCCCAATGGCATCTGCTCGTTCTAGGAACATGCAGAGCCTCAAACCGATCATTCAGGGTCTTGACGAAGAAGTCTGACCATCTCGTAGGTGGGCGTCCACGCGATCTTTTGACGTCCCGTGGAATCCAGTCAGTAATGGCTCTAGTCCAGCGGTTGTCTGTAAACCTCTTTACGTGTCCAGCCCACTTGATTTTTGATGCCTTGGCAAATGAGACAGCGTCCCTGATTCTTGAGTGTTGACGGAGATCAGAACTCCGATTCTATCTCTTATTTGAGTGAAGCATGATATTCCAAGCATAGCTCTTTCGATTCCTCTTTGAGAGACCCGAATAGCGTTCTCATCCTAATATAATATAATATATATTATATATAATATATACAATATAATTATATAATAATACATAATATATAATATAATAATAATAGAATAATATATTATATATTATCCCACAAATGAATGGAAGCTCTTTCAATGCTTCTTGCAAACCTGGTTTGAAGGCTCTGAATTCCCTAAGTTGTTTCCTGTGTATGAAGCCCTGTGTCGTTCCTGCAAAGCTGCCTGGAGTGTTCGTGGCTAGGGGTTCATTGCGTTGGGGTTTGTATTCTAACCCTCCATTCTCTGCTGGCCTGCTGTTTCATTTGATGGATCTACTGTACATCTTATGGGTTTTTCTTCTGAAGTTTCCCTTTTGATCTTGCTGCTTCCAGTATTTTGTCTCCACCTTTGACTTTTGTCACTTCAAGTACAATATGTCTTTGGAGTTTTCCTAGTTGAAAATTTTTGCTGGGACCCTTCAGTCCTCTTGGATCTTGGTGCCTGTAATCCTCAACTCCAGGAAATTCTTTCCTTTATTTGGCCACAATAGTGGTGCTCCAGGCTTACTCCTGACTGCACTCAGGAGTCACTCCTGGCCGGTGTTTTAGGGGACCACATAGCCTGCCGAGGATTGAACCCAGGTCTGCTGCATGCAAGGCAAGTGTCCTACCCGCTGCTGTACTATCACATCAGCCCCAGCTCTGGGAAATTCTTATCAGTGATTTCTTTCTTTCTTTCTTTCTTTCTTTCTTTCTTTCTTTCTTTCTTTCTTCTTTCTTTGCCCTACCCGGCATGCTATCTCTCCAGCTCCTTCCTTTCTTTCTTCCTTTCTTTCTTTCTTTCTTTCTTTCTTTCTTTCTTTTCTTTCTTTCTTTCTTTCTTCCTTCCTTCCTTCCTTCCTTCCTTCTCTCTTCCTCCCTCCCTCCCTCCCTCCCTCCCTCCCTCGTTCCCTTCCTCTCTCCCTTCTCTCTCTCTCTTTCTTTCTTTCTTTCTTTCTTTCTTTCTTTCTTTCTTTCTTTCTTCCTTCCTTCCTTCCTTCCTTCCTTCCTTTCTTTGCCCTACCCGGCATGCTATCTCTCCAGCCTCTCTCTCTCTCTCTCTCTTTCTTTCTTTCTTTCTTTCTTTCTTTCTTTCTTTCTTTCTTTGCCCTACCCGGCATGCTGTCTCTCCAGCTCCCTTCTTTCTTTCTTTCTTTCTTTCTTTCTTTCTTTCTTCCTTCCTTCCTTCCTTCCTTCCTTCTCTCTTCCTCCCTCCCTCCCTCCCTCCCTCCCTCCCTCGTTCCCTTCCTCTCTCCCTTCTCTTTCTTTCTTTCTTTCTTTCTTTCTTTCTTTCTTTCTTTCTTTCTTTCTTTCTTTCTTTGCCCTACCCGGCATGCTATCTCTCCAGCTCCTTCCTTCCTTCCTTCCTTCCTTCCTTCCTTCCTTCCTTCCTTCCTTTCTTTGCCCTACCCGGCATGCTATCTCTCCAGCCTCTCTCTCTTTCTTTCTTTCTTTCTTTCTTTCTTTCTTTCTTTCTTTCTTTCTTTCTTTCCTTTCTTCTTCTTTCTATGCCCTACCCGGCATGCTATCTCTCCAGCTCCCTTCTT